CTGCCCTTTCAAGTAGAGCTTTTCCTCCTCACTGTCCAATTTGTGTGCACATGTTTATTCACAAGACCACTCTTCCTATTCCCTTAATGTCTGTACAATCACTACAAGTCCTGATACCAGCACTTCTGTCTTCTTTCCCTTTTCAATCAGACTCTCTTGTCCAAAATCAGCTTTTGCTTTTCTCTTAGCTATGGTTTCTATTGCTGCCACAAAACACCATAACCAAAGAGCAAGTTGGAGAGGAAAGGGTTTACACTTCAGCATTGCTGTTCATCACCAGAGGAAGTCAAGACAGGAACTCAAACAGGGCAGGATCCCTGAAGCAGGAGCTGATGCAAAGGCCATGGAGGAGAGCTGTTTACTGGCATGTTCTTCATAGCTTGCTTTCTTAGAGAACCCAGGTCCACCAGCCAAGGCCCACCACGGGCTGGGCCCTTCCCCATCAGTCACTAAATGAGAAAATGCCTTACAGCTGTACCTCAAAGAGGCATTTCCTCGGCTGAGGCTCCTTCCTCTGATGACTCCAGCTGTGTCAAGTTGACACACAAAACCAGCCTATACAGGGTTCGTTACTGGTTTTCTATTTTGCTAATTTCCACCACTTCTCTCTTCTGCATACTTGGGATCCCAGTCTGCTGTTCTTAATCATGATTCATTAGCCGGCAACTGAGCTCCCCAATTTGAGAGCATTCTTTGTTTCTTACACAGGTATTTGTTATACTCATTCTACCTGAGTAGTGAGTTGGCAGCATCAGAAGGAATTTGAAACACATGGTTTGATTTTCACTCAAACACTTCCAAACATTTCCCAGTTTTTCTTTCCAACTCCATACTTGGCCATGGAGGTTGTGTGAGCAGAGGGCGTTCACACAGGTATCTTGATTTCTCCTTGAAGTTCTTTCCACACAAGTTCTCCCTCCTGAAATCTGATGATGTCCTACACCATTTGTTCGTCTTGTCGCCTCCCATAGTTTCCTGGGTCTATGTTACCCTTCACTGTGCTGCCATCTGGAAATCCTCCAGTGGAGCCCTGTGAGACAATAACTTGAGTTTTCTTGTTGGCCACTCAAATCTCAGAGACCATTGTCCTCTGTTGCCTGATTCCAGAATCAAATAAATAAATAAATAAATAAATAAAAGGCAGGGTCTTCCTACTTAGCCCTGACTGTCCTGCTGCTATGTAGACCAGGATGGTCTCAGAGTCACAGGTATCTGCCTGCCTCTGCCTCCTGGTGCAAGAATTAAAGGCATGTTCTACCATGCCGGACTGGAACTGGTTTTTTCCTGGAGTTTATCTGTTGCAGGGTTGGTCCCTGCTGCTATGCTTTAGCTAGAAGGATCAAGCATTGCTTGTGTTGTTATAACCCCAGTGTTTACATTTTTGACTTGCTTTAATCCCTCTTGGTGAGTTCTCTTTTTCTTACTTTAAGCATTGAACTTGAAGCAGTGGCAGTCATTTTATGTGAATTTGAGTGCCCTGGCATGCTCCTGGTAGTTGCTGTAGTGACAAGTGGCTCAGAAACTGTCAGCAGGAGGGATGGATTGCACACTTTCATTTGCTGGACTTGTTTGTAAAAGGAGCAAGAGAAAGATATTGTATATTCACAAGTGTAGGGATCTGCAGAAAACCGCACCCAAAAGATGGCGCCGGTTTCCGCCCTCCGCCAGCCGACGGCGACCGCTCTCTGTGGTAAACAACTCCAAATTAGGCAAAGGTCATGTATCCTCTTAATTCTGCTTGGAGACAACCTATCCTGGCGCGCCACGTAGGGTTAGGTGATTGGTAGATATAGACTATATCAGGCCCCGTCTCCCTCGGCCCCGGGGCCGCCACCGCCGCCATTATACATTGTACAAAGCAAAGAGGTTCCCGATTAAACTGTATTTGAAGAAGATTCCTCGGTGTGGCGTCTTTCTTGCTGGTCAAGGGTGGACACCGCACACAAGCAGGTAGAGTAAGTGACACCCAGCTACTTTGGCAGAGGCCAGTTCTGCTGCAGGAGATTTGCTGATAGTTGACTCTCCCTTGAGCCTCTGATCTTACCTTACATAACTGGACATTTGCAAACACGGTCCAGTGGACCTGGCTTTCTCAAGCTGACTCTCACTGACATGATAAAGAAGTTTAGAAAAACAGTCTCCTAAGGGACTGTATTTGATGTCAGCAGAATGTTGTGGGAACAAGAATCATCCCAAAGGAAGCTGAGACTCCAGTGACAACTGACGATAGCAACGTGGTATTGAGCCAAGACAAACTGGGCAGTAGGATGACAATATTTCTCCATCTAATCCCCTGGCCAGTTGCCCTCTGGTTCTTTGCTTATATTAAAGGGGTCACAACACCCCAATTGTCTTTACTGGTGTACTAAAATGTTTGACATCTCTTAGTTTGACTTCACAATCTCCCCAGCCCAACAACTTCTAAATCCTTTGATTCTTTAGGCACAAGAAATTATTAATCTAAGGATAGATCGTTTAATCCAAGTGTGTGATTTCTTGTGCAGAAATTAATGTATAGCAATTTTATGCCATTTGCCTTAATTTGTAAAATGCAAAATCATGTGTTAAGATTTTTTAAATCATGAAAAAGTAAATATATTTAAGGTGACCACTCTTAATGCGTATTTTACATGTCCCTAATCATTTCATTAAAAATTATATAATGATAAAAAAGAAAACATAATTTTAAGGGGCTTTTAGTATATTTACAACATTTTATGATTAGTAACTTGTTTAAAACACTAGCAGAAGCCAACAATTTAAGCCTAAAGCTTGAGTTTTATAAATGTGACTTCCATAGCTTTACAAAGGATTTGTATGCTTACAACACAATGCCACCTTGCTGTCATTTGAGCACAAGAAAGTAACCATCATTATACCACAATCCACTTTTCATCTAAGTGAATATACTGTTGTGGAGAAATATGTAGGTTAGAAACCTGTGGACCAGCTTTAATATGAGTCTAGAAGTTTCCACCTGTTAGCAGGCCACACCAAATGCCCTTGCCTATGAACTTCACAAGAGTCTGCTAAGCAAACGAAGCTTTCCAGTCATTCATTCACTCTAGCTTCTATCACAGATAATAATTATTTTAAATACTGCTATACAGTTTGGAGCCATCTCAAAATACTCAGAGGACACAGTCATCTGGTTATCTTGTTCTGTCTTTAGTGAGCACAATTCTGAGTGATCGTAAAATTTCCACAAATGATCCTTGTAACAGTTGTGCACAATCTGTTCATCCCATGCCTTTTCTGCACACAGCATCAGAAGGGACTAGAAAAACATTCATCTCCAGATTTCTAGGCCAAGGTTACAGGGAATGAGTAAAAATATGGTTACATATGGTCTTGGTTATACTAGATGTTCTGGAAGATTGATCATGAGAAGTCCCATCTTTTCCTCTAGCTTTAGGCTCTGGTCCTCAGAATGCAATCAAGATGCATCAGTCATTTCAGACACAGTACACAGGCTTCTTTTTGTGAAGCCAAGTTTGCATTAATTTTCTAGCCATCTGCATAGAGTGGGAAGTACTTTGATAGCAATAATGACCATTGACTTTACTCTTACTGTGGTCTCAATGCTGAGGGAAGCACTTGCCATACATTGGCTTAGTTGATAAACTAAAAAGTAATTTTCCCAGAACCAGGAACCAAAATGGAGCTAACAAAGGAGCAAGGACCAAAATGGAGGCGATGAAGGAGCTCGGCCACCTATTCACTGCCCCCACAAGCACAGTCTTATGTAATTCAGAAACATTTGTTCTTTTTCCGGAAAGCAAAGAAACATTACCAACTAAGCTGTAACATTGAAGAGACCAAACATATCAAGCATAAACAGAGCTGAGGTCTCCCTGTTTTTTTCAGCATGGTGCTGTCATGCAACAGCTTTGTATTCGTGATGAGAGAAGTTGAAGAACAAGGCTATTCTGCTATGAAGTCAAAAAGGCAATCCCAGCACTTCTTTCCCAAGTACAGAGTGATGAGAGCTAAAAGCTATACAATACACAGGTCAGGTAGCGCACAAGTCAACTTTATGGTAGCCTGTTGTTCTATCACATGGATGCAAGAAGTAGCCCCTAACTATCACACTGGTAGATTTTTATGGTGGCCTGTTACTCTAGCACACAGATGTAAGCAGTAGCCCCCAACTATCACCACAGCAGAAATGAAATGCTACTGCAGAAGCTGGTACCTCCATCATTTCTAAAATGTGTGTTTGGTTATAAACAAACTCGGAGCTATCAGACAAATTTTGTGACATACATTTTCTTTTCTCCTTCTGTGTTCAGATGAGTCAATGCAATGTAATGGCTACACGCCCTTTGTAAAGCCAATGCTCTGATGACACAGTGAGAAAAGAGTAGTTGAAACTCAATGCATTGTCTATGTGCAATGCTTTTAAGATAAAATTGAAATGATTGTTGTTGCAAATCAGTTTCTTTAGCTCATGTTTTTGTAAGTATTAGCAATGAAAATATAAAACATAAACTTAAAATAAGGATTCCACTTTAGAAATAGTAAGCAGACATTTTTCTAAAACTAATTTTTACTTAATAAATCCTAGCCAACTTCTATAGTTGTCCAACTATTCCTCGTCCACTACATTGGGCAATACCAGCAAGCCAGGCACTAATGGAAAATGCCGTTAAGCCCAGCCACTCAGGAGAATGAGGCTGATCCAGAACCCATGAAGTCAAGAGACACATGGACAACAGAGGAAGACACAGCTCCAAAACAAGGAACTAAACATAGTGCAACAGGTCTGTGATTCCTGACAGTCAATGGTTAATGCAGGAGGACCATGAGTTCAAGGACTTCCCAAGCTACATATTGAGTTCAAGGGCAGTTATGCCACATAATAAAAAATAAAGAGACGGATTGGAGCTCAGTGTTGAAGTGCCTGCCTAGAAATGGGAGGATGGCAAATGGTGGCAATACTACTGCCACCCAACACCTTCATAATACAAACATCAGGAAAACGAAGCTGCGGTGCTTACCTTGGTTAGATGAATGACTCCTTTGGAAGTAACTGAACAACCCATAAAGCCAACATACTGGAGTTCAGGGCAGTGCTCAGCAAATGCCTTCACTGACTGGTCTGTCACCTAGCGGGAAAACAGGAAGAAGTTACATGAGAGGGTATCATGGTGAATTCATAATCTGTGAAAGTCTGCTTCGCAGTGGCACGTCTTTCCTTTTTCAACTGGTCACTTGCATCAGCACACAAGCATGCTGCAATATCACCTGTGTAACTAAGAATTACTTCCCTCACCTCACGTCCCTTACACGCCAGGGTTTTTGTATTTCTCTGTAGAAACAAGAGATAGTGACAAAAGCTACTCTACTTATCCTGTGTCTCTTCCTCTCCTCTTCACATTTTTACTGAGCTTGTTTACACGCTATAAAATCCACCCTTCGAGGGTCCGGCTCAGTGATTAGTAATGCATCTATAAAGCTGGACAGCATCACCAATACCTAACCCACATGTTCATGCCTACTGCCTCCCCCTGGACGCTGTCTCCCAGCTGGGTAACTGTTTCTCCTGCCTTAGGAATCAGACTCCTGGGTCCAGAAATGCCAACTACAGAGCTTAAAACTTCTTCGTCTCAAAAGCATGTAAGTCAACTCCCTTTAAGACTTTCTTGACAGAAACAGAAAATCTGCTAACAGTCTTATTTCTCTGGAGAACCCCAATGCAGTGTGTACTGAAATCCTTCCAGGAGTCAGTTGCAGATTTATACCTGAAAGGGATGGAACCCCAGGGTCTTTATTTTTAATAAGCCCCAAGTGACTCTCAAGTCATCCAAAAGTCAGAGGACCCAGTGATGCAAAGAACTTACAGCACTAGTTCTGGGTATTTCTAACTACCTTTGCTTTACAGACGGAAGGCAGAATGGAACTCCATCTCTGTCTCAATCATCTCCTCCATCTCCGTCTCAATCATTCCTGAAACTTTCCTCCGCATATATAAATTATCCTTCTGTAATTATATGAAATTTTTCTCTCCGGATCAGCTTATAAAAGAAAGTCCACACACTTGCAAACACATGACTACTTTAGATTTACTTTCTTCATCCAAAATAAAATCAAACATTTTTGTTAGATTTCAGACAGCAATGATGTTCATTGTTTTCACATTAGTTTTAGTATGGGTGACTCTTATTTGTGTCTTTATGTTCTACAGACAGTGGGAAATAGAAGTATGTGACTAGCATTAATTCTAAAACAATCACACAGACATTTCCCTAAAGTAATGAGGGCAACAGCATCCATGGCAAGTCTGATAAAAGATTAATTCTGCCTTCAAAAGCAAAGTATGCTTAAGCATATTAAGACTAAGGGTGCCACTGATAAATTAAAAATGGACTTGCCTTACACTCAGCTTTCTAAATACATTATGTTAACATGGCACTAAAATCGCTGGAAGCGTCCATGAAACACAAAAAGAAAGGTTACAGGGGTTAAGTACATGGTCAGTAAGTTAAATGCCCTGCTCAATCTCACACTAGCACAGTCTCTTTGTGAGAAGTAAGTTAAATACCCTGCTCAATCTCACACTAGCACAGTCTCTTTGTGAGAAGGTTGGAAACGAAGAGGAACTCAGAAAAGGATAAGAACACAAGAGAACTCAGATCCCAGGATCCTGAGCTTTTAAAGAGGAAAGGAATATTGAAAGTCCTGTTGGCAGGCCTTCCTCTTAGAATAAGACAACTGAGAAAAGCCTACAACATCAACCCAGCCTGCAAAAATGAGAGCTGAGTGAAGCTCTGAAGTTTAGAAACGCTGGGATTCGATGTCAGCTTTAGATGACCTTCAAATGTCAGAGGTAATCCACTCTCTCTTACAAACAGATCGGTGTCTTAGTTAGTTAGGGTTTCTATTACAGCTCGAGTCATGAGAGGAAGGAGCCTCAGTTGAGGAAATGCCTCAGTGAGATCCAGCATTTTCTTAATTAGTGATCAACAGAATAGGGCCCAGCCCATGGTAGGTGGTGCCATCCTGGGCAGGTGGTCCTGGGTTCTGTAAGAAAGCAGGCTGAGCAAGATATGAGGAGCAAGCCAGTAAGCAGCACTCTCCATGGCCTCTGCATCAGCTCCTGACTCCAAGTCTGTCCTGTTTGAGTTCCTGTCCTAACTGCTTCAGCGATGAACAGCAATGCTCAAGTGTAAGCCAGACAAACCCTTTCCTCTCCAACTTGCTCTTTGGCCATGGTGTTTCTTTGTAGCAAGAAAAACCCTCACTAAGACAGTCAGTGAGGGTTGTATGAAGGCAAGTATTGGCAGGTCTCAGCTTCCCTAGGACCCTCAAGTCTGGGTGCCTACCTTTAAATCTCACATGGATGTCCCATCCCTTTGTGTGACTGTTTAAAGTCACTTCTCTGTATCATGTCTATCTCTAATACAGAGAAAACAATGGTACTTACTTCACAGAGTAAAATGAGAGCAAAGACAATGCAAGTAGAATGCTTTGAACATGGGAAGTTGTAACTTCTCAGTAGCTGCTAACGAACAACCTCACTCCTGATCCTATTTCCTCTGGATTGTGATTCACAGCCAGAACCAGGAAATGATGGATATAAGAAATTAATAATTCAAAACCATGCTCCTTTACTCTTCCACTCACTCTGGAGACCCATCCCAGTCGCCGTCTGTGAACTCTAGATTACAGGAGGGGCTGTGAGGTAAAGGGGATGGAGACAGCTGACGCAGCAACACATCAGACTCACAGCAGGAATTCCTGGCTGTCTCTGCCTGAAGACCCTCGCTGCCATTTGACTTTCAAAGGTTCTCCAGAGAGTCTGATGTCCCAGTTCCAGTGAACAGCATTACTGTGCCATCCTCATTTTAAAACTTGCTCAGACTGAAGCACCTGGGCCCTGCTACATCCTACTATACACTTCATTTAATCTTCAGGCGACTGCCATCTACCTTAGAGCTTGAGAAAAACTGCCGAGGGGATGATCTTTTGGGCTTAGAAGACAAAAAAAACTGAATAGCTATCTATGCCCTAACCAAAATAATATGGTAGATTTTTATTTTTATATATTTGTTTATCATTCATTCGTTCAATTTTTGCTTGTCTATTGTCTATTTTTGAGGCAGGGTTTCTCTGTGTAACATCCCTGGCTGTTCTGGAACTCATTATGTGGACCAGGCTGGCCTCGAACTCACAGAGATCCACCTGCCTCTGCCTCCCAAGTCCTGTGATTAAAGGCGTGAGCCACCACTACCAGGCTGGTGGACTTTTAATATAACATACTGAGGAACAATTTCCCCATTTTAAAAGTAAATTCCTGGCATGTAAACACTGAGAAAATCATTTTTTTTCCACTGTATAATTCCAAAAGGCATCATCATGCCGAGTAAATGCACTGTTTTAAAATATAAGTGTAACTGAGTATATTCGTTTAATTTTAACAAGGTAATACCACTTTGCAACAAATCCCCTTTACTCTTTGTACCGTGTCGGCCAGGGACTGCTCCACGCCCAGTCTCTGGCAAGTACCACCAACACATTTTCTATTTTATACCTTGACTTATCTAGACCTTCCTATAACTATTCTAAGTCTATCCTAAGTAGCCTTTTTTGTAATTCTGTCCATAGCAAAATGTTTTTGAGATTTATCCATGTGTATATATACATTTGTATTTCAGTAGAATTGTTACTGCTATATAGAACTCCACTATATACAGTGCATTTAAGCAGATGTTATGTGAAATGTTTCTAATTTAGGATTTTGAAAGATGCTACAAGTCTCTGTATGGAACTATATTTTTACTACTTCTGAGCAAATGTTAAGAGTAGAAATAATAAATTGATGGGAGATGCCATTCTGTAACTATGTCTCTCTTATTGGTTGATGAATAAAAACACTGTTGGCCAATAGGGAAGCAAGATAGGTGGGACTGGGAGACAAGGAGGCTTCTGGGAAATGTAGGAAGAAGTGGCCATGTGATCCGGGAGGAGAGGATGCACGAGTCTGGCGTTACTGGTAAGATAGGACCTTGTAGAAATACATATAGTAGTAATTATGGGTTAATACTTAAGACAGAGCTAGCCAATAAGAAATCCTAGTCACCGGGCAACAGCATTATAACTAATATAGTATGTCTCGTGTTATTTGGGGCTGATGCAGCACTGGGACCAGGCTGGCGGGAAGAGTTATCACAACAATAAATCAGTATATTCTTACTAAACTGAAGGAGACTTTTACATATTCTAAACACAAATCATTTCTAAAGGGCTAAAATACGAGGCCCTAGGAAAAATATTTTAACCCAAAGACATAGGCTTTGCTATAACACCAAGGTATAAATCCGTTCCAGCTGTTACACAGACACCTCGGTGTTCCTAAGGAAACAGTTCTGCTACTTATCAAGAAATCAGACCTGGTCTCTAGAGCCCCTCTTTGACCCCACCCATCTTAAAGCCTGAATTTTACAGATCCATTCCTCCTGCCAGAAGTTTGCCACGGGCAACTGCAGGGAGCCCTCCAGATACACCAGCCCTGCACCAGCTCCAAAGACACCAACCAGGCAAGGACTGGCAGGTTGACTTCACCCACATGCCCGCTCATAAAATGCTGTGTTATCTTTTAACTCTCGTGACACCTTTACAGGATGGATGGAAGCACACCCCACCTCCAGGGAAATAGCAGATGTGATGATTCCCGTACTCCTGGGAAACATCCCCCCAATTTAGTGTGCCATCCCCTCAAGTTCCTGGACATCAATGCTGGTACCATCTCTCCGGGCTCAAGGAACCTATCTAGGATTGATGGTCTGTACAGCAACTGGGACCCTCCACCCTCTGGTTTTCCAAAATGTCCCAATGAAAGGCTGTCTGCTCTTCTGCCTTGCTCACTCATCTCTGTCAGTACAGCCAGGGCAAATCTCTGCTCCATTCTTACTGGCAATCTCCACTCTCCCCATGGCTAGTCCCACTGCTAGCGCCAATAACAATAATCTGTTTTTCCTCCTAGCAACTTCCTCAAGAAACAGATCCCTGAGGTTTCCAATATGGCAGTTAACCAAACTTCTTCACCCACACCTCCTGCTCAGCGTGAACAAATGGACTCCTGACTTCCCCTCCCCATGTCGCCCCA